GAGCAAGCTCCTGGGCTTGAGGTGTGTGGAGGGCAGTACCCGGGGGAGGACTCAGCACACGCAGTCCATGGGCAGAAATCTCGTCTCCAGGAGCGTGGCCGTTCCAGGTGGGACCCTTGTGGCGCCCTTGGCTGAATAAAGCTCCATTTTGCCACCTCCGCCTGCCGTACCAGCCTGGCGTGGTGTCCCCGCCTCACCCTGTCACAGGGCTGTTTCTTGCTGCTCTAAGGCAAACACCAAGTCCATGCTAACATGCACTCGCCTGGGAGGCTGCTCCTGCCAGCGCAGCTGGGGCAGCAGAGTGCAGAGGGCCCCGGAGTCCTGGTGGTCTCAGCCGAGGCAGAAGTGGGTTCCTTCTATCCCACCAAGTTACCTGTGGGTCTGCCCGTCGGCGGCTTCTTTGCAGGACTAAACAAACTCCCTCCCTCCTCGCTGCCTGCCTGCCTGCCTTCTTGTTCTCCACTTCCTTTCTTCCTCTCCTCTCTTTTCTCTTCCTCTCAAGCTCTATTCTGTCTTCGGTTCTCTCCCTTTCTCACCGAGGGAGACCGTTCTTTTCTGTGCGCAAGCTCCCCCATGGACTCCTTAGGGCCAGGGACTCCTTCACCACCCCAGCCCCCTAACCCCACCCCCCACCTCGCTTGGCTGATTGGGAAAGGAAATGCTGCCCTGGGTTTGTACACACAGCACACCCCCAGTGTGCCCAGTCCCCACTCAGCACCCGAGCCGTCCACACACACACAGGAAGAAGGAGGCGGAGGGCAGGGTGGGGAATGGGGGGACGGTGCGGGGGCACCCACTGGGTGCTGCGTAGCTCCTGGCCACCTCGGCAATGGAACTAATGCAGGCAGGAAGTCCAGATAGAGTAATAAGAAGTTAGGACCACAGTGCGATGTGGAACAGCTGTGTGTGTTTTTAAGGGCTACAGGGCAGTTTTTATGAGGTAGAGGGCAGCTTGAATTAACTTTTTTTAAAATCCTTCAAAGGCCTAAGGCAGTGTTTATCAGTAGCAACATTTGTTGAATAAAGAATGGTTGAGAGCACACCAGCCTGTTTAAGCCGAATGGATAAGAAAGGCTAGAGATTAGTAAACCAAAGAATTCTCACATAAATGTCCCCACTTCCAGCAATTGCTGCTAAGTTTTCCCCATTTTTAAGAACAGAGATGTAGATCACATAAAAGTCACCAGCTCTAGAACTCTGTAGTTCAGTGGTTTTTAGTGTATACCCAAGGTTGTAAAACTTGCAGCCACGGATGGCTGCAACACAGAGTAACAGTAAAATTAAAATAACCCACTGCTCTAGAAAGAACGTCCATTGGTCAAAGACTAATCTTCATACAGAGATGGCACCCTATCAGCAGGCAGCCCCACTCTTCCTGTCCTAGCCATGGCTGCCCTCACCCTCTCACGGAGAGAGACAGGGCAGCTGTTGGCTGGTGCGTGTGGTGGAGCTGGTGCCGAGAGCCCCTGCTCCACAGGAGCACAGCACCTTCCGCTGCACAGAACCGGAGCTCCAGCTCTGTGAGCTCTGCGGCAGGCAGAGGTGATGGGGAGTTTGACAGCTGTGGGCAGAGTCCCTGGGAAGCATGACAAGAACAGCCTGGGTTCAGAGTCAGGCGCCGTGCCCTGGGCTGGGGGCTGAGGTGGGATCCCCTGCAGCCACATGAACTTGGTGGTTTCTGTGTCGTAGCTAAGCATCAGGGCAAGCCACAGAGGGACAGGGGTGGTGGGGCATCGTCTGCGGCATCACCGTAGGCGGGCAGTGCCACCTGCCAACCCACAGCTGGCTCAGGTCTGGGTGTCTCGAGAGGCCGGATGGACAGAGCTGAAGGCAAACTCATGTTCAGTTCCAATAGGATGATGCACTTCTCCTTGTGTTCCATTCGGTGCTTTATGTATTTTAATGCTACGTTATTAGTTGTGTACAAGTTAAGGACTGCTACACGTTCTCGTGAATTGGATCTTTTATTGAAATAGTGACCTTTATCACATTGCCATCATTATATTCTGATTTTTTCTTTTGGTTAGTGTTTACTGGTGTATTTTATTTCCAGTTTGCTGCACGTCTATGCATTGTTTACAGTTTTGCTATTCAGATTGTCTTCTATTTTGATGTTTATTTATTTTTTTGAGTTACTGTTAGCTTAGCTTTTCTCAGAGGTACAGTGGCATTCACCCATTTTATTTTAAATACTTGTGAGGCTTAATTTTTTTTTAATAAAAATCTGATGTATTTGGGAATTACTCCACGGTGTGGTGGGTTGGGAATGGGGTTTTCTGGTCTCTGGCGCAGGGGGGTAGAACCCTGCACGTGTCCTGGAGTTAGCGCATGCATCTTATTACCACCTGGTGCCCTGTGGAGGCCCCAGACCCTGTGTTGACCCCCTCAGATGGCAGGGGCCCAATGTGGAGCCCCTCACTTCCTGCGGCCTTTCACCTTTGTTTCTAGCACTGGGGAATTCCTTTTTTTTTTCCTGTTTTTCCACTTTTTTTCCCTTTTTCTGTGTGTGTGTGTGTGGTTCGGTTTGGGATCTTTCCCAGCTTGGGCTACAGCTCTGCCATGGATCTGTCCATGGTGGTCAAGAAACAGAAGGCATTGACTACGGGGCTTGGAAATACAGTGAGTTGGAGATGAGAATTTACTGTGCATACTGATCATTTTACTGGGCCCAACAGCTTGCTTTTTAAAGCATTAAAATTTTTTGAGTGCTTGTTTTTCCTTATTTGAAAGGCTAGAGCAGATCTCAAGGTGTCCCACTGGTTCAGTTAGAACTTAACAATTTCCGAGATTGTACTGAGTCACTGTGGTCTCCTGGGTGTGTTGTACTGAATCTCTGTGATCCCCCTGGGTATGCTGTACTGATTCTCTGTGATCCCCCTGGATGTTGTACTGCATCTGGGTAATCTACTGGATGTGTTGTACTGAATCTCGGTGATCTGGTGGGTGTGTTGTACTGTATCTCTGTGATCCCCCTGGGTGTTGTACTGCATCTGGGTAATCTACTGGGTGTGTTGTATTGAATCTCGGTGATCTGGTGGGTGTGTTGTACTGAATCTCTGTGATCCCCCTGGGTATGCTGTACTGATTCTCTGTGTTTTACTGCATCTGGGTAATCTACTGGGTGTGTTGTACTGAATCTCTGTGATCTGGTGGGAGTGTTGGACTGACTCTCTGTGATCCCCATGGAGTGCTGTCCTGAATCTGTGTGATCTCCTAGGTGTGTTGTACTGAGAACAGTTGAAGGACAATGTGTGCCCAACTTAGGATGTGTTACTTTAATTCAGAGCAGACCAAAGCAGACATGCGCATATGTTTCTGTGGTTGTACATGAGAATTCTCTACAGCTTAACAGAGGATTCCAGGTTTATTTATTGGAATGTCTACTTTATAACTGTTGTCTGCGAGCTGTGTGTGTTGTTGCAGTTTCCCTTTTGGTGTCTGCCCTTGCTGGCTTTGGGTGGGTCCATGGATCAGCACGAGTTTGGGAGTACATGGACCATGGCGTTGAGTTTGGGAGTACATGGACCATGGCGTTCTGTCTTCTGCAGTCCTCATGAGCACCTTGAGAAACCATTGGGAGTTTTTTAATGTTTGTATCAGCAGTATAAAATTGACCTGTCTTTGGTAGACAGTTCCGTGAATGTAAGCCCACATTTCCATAATCGGGATGCAGAAGTGTTCTGTTACCCCGCCAGTCCCTCACGCTCCCCTTTATAACCTCACATTCCCACTCCTGACCGTGGTGACCGCGGACCTGAGCGTGCTACCTGAGATGGCCTTCTGTACCAGCACGCTGCTTCGAGAGCCGTCCAGGTTGTCGGATTTATGGAGCGTTTGTTCTTTCTCATTGCTGGGTAGTACTCTCTTTTATTTTTTTTTTATTTTTTATTTTTTTATTTTTTTTATTTTTTAACAGGCAGAGTGGACAGTGAGAAAGAGAGAGAGAGAGAGAAAGGTCTTCCTTTGCCGTTGGTTCACCCTCCAATGGCCGCCGCGGCCGGCGCACCACGCTGATCCGATGGCAGGAGCCAGGTGCTTTTCCTGGTCTCCCATGGGGTGCAGGGCCCAAGCACCTGGGCCATCCTCCACTGCACTCCCTGGCCACAGCAGAGAGCTGGCCTGGAAGAGGGGCAACCGGGACAGAATCCGGCGCCCTGACCGGGACTAGAACCCGGTGTGCCGGTGCCGCAAGGTGGAGGATTAGCCTAGTGAGCCGCGGCACCGGCCTGGGTGGTACTCTCTTACGTGGACTGACCATCAACTATTTAAACTCTTGGTAAAGAATATGTGGGTTGTTTCCAGGTTTTGGTGATTATGGACAGAGCTCGTATGACAGAAACACCTCTCTTCAGTCTCAATCTTCTCCCTACCTGACCCGTTTCTTGTATCCAGTAACTCGGACGGCACCTCCACTGAGAAGCAGTTCTGCCCCTGTCTTGGCCCCCAGCTGGGTTGGGTTTCCTGGCACGTGGCAGGTGGAGCCCCGTGTCCGTGGCAGTGTGTCTGTGGTGTTGAGGCTGGCTGTTAGGGTAAGAGGGCAAAAGCCCCTGGTGATGTCTGCCAAGGCTGCAGGAGAGGCCAAAGGCAGCAACCGCAAGTGACCGTAGACGTCGAGCCCTGGGGTAGAAGAGGGGTGGGGATTTGCCAGTGCGCTGGTGCGGACTCGTGACTCCCCGCAGCTTTAGCAAACCTAAAAGAGGAAAAGTGCGTGCACGCGAATTTATGTGCGCAGCAGATCTGTGCAGTGCCCTGTTTTGTGTGTGTAAAAAGGTGCACCTGCTACAGGGCTGGGGGTTGACGTTTCCTGAAGGGCTTAGAGTGCGGCCAGAGCACCCTCCAGGTGTGGAGTCGCTGCCAGGCCCAGCTTGGCTGGCGGGAGGCCCTGGTGCGCACAGACCCCCACCCCCACCCCCACCCCCGCGCGCAGGCGCAGGCGCACGCGTGCTCTGCGGCTCTGATGCTGGCGACAACTCAACCTCCATGTCTGTTCTTCTTTCCAGTATTACTTCACTGTTCTTTTTGGCCACGAGGGGCAGAAGCCGCTGGAGCTGCGCTGCGAGGAGGAGCAGGACGGCAGAGAGTGGACGGAGGCCATCCACCGGGCCAGGTGGGCCCCGCTGGCTCGCTCCCCGGGCTCCTCACTGCTGGTGGCGGCTTTGGCACAGCCTGCAGTCCCAAGATGGGCCCCTCCTCCCTAATCACGCGTGAGATAATCAGCCGGGTTTTCTGCGGCTGTATGCCAGGCGCAGAGGAAGGGGCCCGGATGTGAGGATGATGTGCGCAGGACCAGAGGCTTCCCGTGGGGGGTCTCTTCCTGTGGGCCAGGCACTGCTGCGCATGCTCCTGGGGAAGGCGTTGCTACCAGCGTTGTCTGGGTTATTCTCTCCGCTGTCGGCGAGAGAGGAAACCCAGACCCAGGAGGTGTGTTCGCTCTCCCAAGGTTGCACAGCTGAGTGGCGGAGCTGGGCCGTGGACCCGGCCCAGCCGTGCTGGTGCAGCCTGCCCGTGCAGCCCGGCGATGGAAGAGGTGGTGTCAGCTGGGGGTGGGGAGAGGCGGAAGAGTACACTTCACCCCTGCCTCGGAAGCCCTGGAGGGGTGGAAGGGCACACGCGCGGCCTGAAGGGGCGCACACAGACCCCTCCCACATTTTCTCTCCAGCTCCTGAGTCCAGGCTAGTTTGCTCCCAGTGGCTCCGTGCTGCCTGCTCCTTGCCGTCGACTCCACAGTCCTGGCTCCCATCCTGCCTTCCCTCAGAGCTCAGGGGCCCGCGTTTCCTTCTCTTCACCTGCAAGCCCACCCTGCCCCAGTGCCTGCCAGGCTCTCCACCACCTGTCCCCAAGGCCGCCCCTCCCCACGCCCCCCAGCAGCGAGGGGAGGGAGGGGGGAGGAGGTTGTGGATTCCCTGTTGGTGATTCTGTTTCCTGACCTTGAGAAGGGAGCGAGCAGGAGGATGGGGGTGTACTGGGTATTGAATGAAGCCGCTGCTAATCACGTTGTAGGTGATGGGGAGAATCTTCAGATCCATGACAACAAGAGTGAGGCGTTTATCCTCGGTGAATTCAGGCTGCTCTTTGAACCTTGAGACTTCTCTGAAAATCCCCCTTCATCTCCCCTCCTGGGTTCTCGCTTCCCTCCCTTCTCTCTTCAGCTCATGAAAAATAATTAATTATTGGAAAGAGAGAGAGATGATGATGATGATGAGAGAGAGAGATGTCTTCTGTCCTCTAGCTTACTCCACAAATGCCTGCAACAGCTAGGACTGGACCAGGCTGAAGCCAGGAGCCCCCGACACGACCTGGGTCTCCCACATGGGTGGCAGGGGGACCCCACTTGAGCCATCGCCGCGTGTGACACATGTGGTAGCAGGGAACTGGCTCTCCCATAGACGATGTGGAGTCTGAAGTGGCAGCTTCGTTCTCTGACGAGCACGCCGGCCCCTCTAAAGCTCCTGTTTGTTTGCAGCTTCTCCGGGACGGGCAGTGTGAGTTTAGCTTTTCTGTCCCTCACAGCACCCTGGAGGGCATGGTGCACCTCATTTTGGAGACGGGCAAACACACCCTGAGGGCGATCACGCAGACTGGCCGAGATGCAGTGCAGCCTCGGAAGCTGCGCAGAGCGACTCCCAGCCGGGTCCGCGGGCCCCCGGGTGCGCAGCCAGAGCCCGGGCACCCTTCTCTCGGTTGTCTGCTCTCTCTTCAGTCTCTTTTCCTTCTTTTTTTTTTTTTTTTTTTTGACAGGCAGAGTGGACAGTGAGAGAGAGAGACAGAGAGGAAGGTCTTCCTTTGCCGTTGGTTCACCCTCCAATGGCCGCCTCGGCCGGCGTGCTGCAGCCGGCGCACCGCGCTGATCCGATGGCAGGAGCCAGGTGCTTCTCCTGGTCTCCCATGGGGTGCAGGGCCCAAGCACTTGGGCCATCCTCCACTGCACTCCCTGGCCACAGCAGAGAGCTGGCCTGGAAGAGGGGCAACCGGGACAGAATCCAGCGCCCCGACGGGGACTAGAACCCGGTGTGCCGGCACCGCAGGCAGAGGATTAGCCTAGTGAGCCGCGGCGCCGGCCAGTCTCTTTTCCTTCTATGACTTTTTTTCTTTCTCTGTTCAGAGATGAAAATGGATCCCTGTGAGGTCAGTATCGAGAGGCCAAGATGTAATTTGCAAAATAGTTAGACTCTTTCGCTGTGGTTTCTTCTAAAATGTTTCCATGACGTGCCCGGGGTTGGTGAGCGAAGGCAGCTGCCGGTCACCCAGGGCAGCCCTGCCCGCCGTGTGTGCTGGCTGCTCTCTGAGCGTTCCGCTCGAGCCTGGGCCTAATACAGAGTGACTTGCCGTAGAAAGAGGCTCAGCTCTTCAAATGCGACCGATGCATCGAGCTGGCAAGGTGGAGCCCTGGGGTCCTTTCCAGACACAGTCTCTGTGGCCATTTCCCTTGCTTTCTACCTGGGATGAAAATACATTTTAAATGTGTGTTTGCCCGTCCTTTTCACCGCGCGAGAGTAGGTAGGATCAGCAGCCGCCAGGCCGACATCTCGGTGAGCCCCGCACGAGCTGCGTGTGCATTAAAGATGGTCAGATTCGAGTGCGAAGTCCTTCCTCTACACTGCAAAGGCATTCTGCCACACGTGAGGGTGTCTCAGGGCCTCTGGAAGAGGGAATTAAACCGATTACTTTATCCAAAACACGGAAGCCCATGCGTGGTTCTTTCATAGTTGTATTTTTCATGAAGATTCCTCCTATGGATTTCAATATACTTTGCATCAGAATCAACTTATCTTTTAATTCCCTTTTTTCCCCATGAGCGTTTTGCAGTTCTCTTGTGTGCAGAAGTGGTCAGGAGCTACTTGGCGTCGTTTGATCCAAACCAGGGTGTGTGTGATTTGTTGGGAGACAGATCTGAGAGGCCGCTTAAATGGCTTAGGCAATGACAGGATGAAAAATTCACTTTTGGATTTGAAGATTTGGTTAATAATTGATCGATTTTTTTCTTGATGTCCTGACTTTTTGGTCTGCGGGAGTTGCTTTTCCTCAGCCCTGCCCGGCCTGGGCCTGCCTTCTTTGATGGGTCCCTGTAATCCAGCCGCTTCATAGCTGAGTTCTTCTGTTTGACTGTGCATGGACATGCTGCCTAACTGTTTTCTAATCAAGGAAGACAAGGACTTTTCCATGTAAGTTTCTGCCGTAAACATAGATGGGTGAAATTCGACCTAACTTGGTTTGTACAGGCACAACACCAGGCAGTTGATGCAGCCAATTCAGAAGTGTTCCTGGGCAGCCCGTTGTGCCCGGCTCTGTGTGAATGAAGCCCAGCTGCCTCGCCGGGACTGGCTGATGACCGTTCCGCCCTGCATGTGGTCTGGTGACATGAATTGAATCCTCCTTCCCTCTCAATAGCTCAGGACAGGCAATAGCGATGGTGTGATTGATCCGTCTTTTACAAAGGTTTGATTGCCTGGTGACTGTGGTAGTGTGAGACTGTTGTGAGCCACAGATCTTCCTGTAGCTGAAACGGAAGCAGAGCCGGCTTGGAACCAGCCCTCCCCGCTGCTGGCTCCTCCTGGGTGGCTGTCCAGCACCAGCCTGGCTGTGCCGACGGTGTGCGCCATGGCCTTGGTGCACTGGCGTGTCTGTCTCCGAGCGGTTGTATCTGCTTGGCCTGGTTTGGAAGCATTCGGCTAGTGCAGGATGTTCGTGGCATGGTGTGCTCGCCACTGGCCACTCCTCCATTTCTAGCACACTGGTGCATTTCAGATCCTGCTCTGTCACCTGCCGCAGCCCCAGCTCGCAGGAAGCTGCTGGCTGGACTTGGTGCTGTTGTCATCTGGAGGAGTTGACGCCAGAGCTTCTGACCGAGTCGATGCTGATTTCATAAATGGTTTGCTTCTTGGGGATGGCACGCTGAGCACTGCTGGTGTTTCTTTGTTCGCTTGCCCGTATCTGTGTGCCATGACTGATTTGATCGCAAGCACTGGAACAGTGGAAAGCACTGGCTTGTTGGCTGAAAAGGCCTTTTCAGTGTTGCGCCTGCTGGACCACTGACAAGTGAGCTCTCAGGTGTGGCCTGAAGAGGACCCGGGAGACACTTCCAGGGTTCCTCCCACCCTGGCCGAAACACAAGACCCACGAGTCGTGGCCTGCAGAGGGGAATACAGGAGGAAGGTGTTCCAGAGAAGCAGGCGTCCACGCCCAAGGACCTCGTCTCTACCAGGATGAGGGCACAGGTAGGCCAGGCTGGTGGCTCACAGCTGCCGGCCCCCTGGCTTGCAGGGTGTCGCTCACCGGGAGAAGCAGGTGGATGAGGGCAGGTCTGAGCTGCAAAGACGGTGAGCACTGGCCAGAAGGGGCTTCGGTGAGAAGCAGCAGGGGGGAGCTGACACGCTGATGTGCTCTTCCTGCCTCTGACTGGGAAGGTGGTGGAGGACGAGTCCCCAGGGGCTACTGGAGTGGTCAGGTGCACCCCGAGCAAAGAGCTGGGTATGGCTGAGGTTGGGCAGCGTCTAAAAACCTGGAGATACTGAGAATTCCATGCCTGGACCACAGTCCTCCCCCCGCACCCCTGCGTGCTCTGCCCACCTGCACCTGGGCCCGTGGTCAGTGGCCTGCTCCAGCCATTCCCTGGGCAAACCCCGCCTCGGTTCCCTCCTCTCGCGTCTCCTGCAGTGTTTCTCAGGGCTTTGGTTCTAAGAGGAGAGGAACCGGGCATTTGCAGCTGTCCCGTATGGCTCAGGGTGGATGGAGTTTGGCAGGGCTTGACCGAGCCATCTTCCCTGTCAGTCTGTGACTTGATGAGCCAGGAGACTTCACCCTCCAGTTACATCTTCGATGAAAACTTTCTCTGCCCCAGCCTCTGGGGTCTGCTCTGTCTGTCGGTCTCTTGAGTACACGTTCCTGAGACAGCCTGTTGTCCTCTCTCTATCTCCCCTTGCATCCCTCTGGCTTCCCCCAGCACTCAGGTGCACACACACAGTAGCACCTGGTGCTCGTCACCTCGTTCTGTGTTCCTGGTCAGAGGCTTCCGTTGGAGCCACGTGCAGCGCCAAGGGCGTGGCCAGCCGTGCAGCTGTGTGTGCATCCCCTGCGCATGAAGTCGGCCCTTTCTGGGGTGCGCAGGCA